TTAAAATTGTATAATAAAATTAGTCTTAATATTATACTATTCTTGGATATTTGGTTTATAAGTTTTAAATTTTGATTATGAATGCTTCTAATCAATTTTAGTGATATTCATGTTAAATTTTATTCACTTTTAACAAAATCTAGAAGATGAGATTAAATTATTAATTAATATATTAAGAAAAAAACTAATTTTAATCTTTAAAAATTATTTACACTGTGCTAGAAACTTGAAATAATCTTTTATTGTTTTTGGTACCTCTAATGATGTAACCAAGAAAAATTTTCAAATCTTTTCAATTTTTACAAATGTAGAGGAGTATAAGAATTCATTTATAATTTGTACTTTGTATTATGTTTTTACTAATTTGCATGTTAATGTGTTTTATAATTATACTTTTTATTTGATATTAAAATATTTTTACATTACCTCATATATTTAATAATGTTAAAAACCGATTAATCCAACCGAACCACACTGATTCGATTTAAATTGGATTAGTTTAAAAATTTTATTAACCAATAAAATTGGATTAGTTTAAAAAATATTAAAATCTGAACTAAATCACATCGTGAACACCCCTAATAGATACTAATTATATTAAAATATATAATGAATTTCTAAATTTAGATATTAATATTTAATAGTATAATATCTAAATTTAGATATAGAAACTGATTCTATTAAATATTGATATTTAAATTTAGAAACTCATTATATATTTTAATATAATTAGTTTTTAAATTTAAATATTAATATTTAATAGGTTAAATGCTTAATTTGGTCCCTTAACTTTAAGAAATGAACATTTTTTATCCCTCAACAATTTTTTGCACTTTTTTGATCCCTCAACTACAAGAAATGCACTTCGTTAGTCCTTCTGTTAATTTGAGCCGTTAACTCCACTTACGTGGCATTTTTTATATTTTTTTTGATGATGTGGAGAGCAAAGTGATGACATGGAGAGCAAAGTGACGACATGGACAAACATTTTGACATTTAATATTATCTTTTAATTTTTTTTTATGATGTGGCAAACATTTTGACATAAAATTACCTAACTACCCCCACCCACCCAATCCTTCTTCTTCTCCTTTCTTTCTCTTTCTTTTTTCCCTGCCCTGGGTCTCCATGGCTGCGACGAACCTAGCCGGCTGGATCTCGACGGAACCCAGCCTGCTGGGTCTCATCGGAACCCAGCCTTGTTGGGTTCGGGGAGACCCAGCCTTGCTGGGTTCGGGGAGACCCAGCCAGATCTGGGTTTGACGAAACCCAGATATGGCTGGGTTCCGATGAGACCCAGCAGGCTGGGTTCCGACGAACCCTGCTGGGTCTCGTTGAACCCAGCCTTGCTGGGTTTACTCGAACCCAGCTATTGGGTTCGACGAGACCCCAGCTGGGTTCCGATGAACCCAGCTTTGCTGTTTCGATGCTAAATTCATGTTTTTTCATTTTTCTTTGGATTTTCATTTCTAGTTGTTAATAAATTTGAGAGTTGATTTACAATTTGATTGTATTTTTGTTGGAGTTTGATTGATATTGTTTATTTTGTTTATTGAATGCTTAATTTGATTTGATAAGATTTACTAAGTTTGAGACTTGAATGAAACCCAGTAACTGGGTTCAATTTCTCAAGGTAGAGGAGTGGAGATGAGAGAGTATTTAGAGAGGAAGAAGAAATGGGTTAAGATTGATTCTGCAGATAGAGTGGAGGTTAATTTTGCAGAGAGGGAAGATGAGCAAGGAAGATGAGGTTAATTTTGCAGAGAGGGAAGATGAAAAGGAAGATGACATGTCGCCAAAAAAAGTCCAAATCAGCGTCTTTTAAGTTGTTTTTGCCATGTCATCCAAAAAAAATATAAAAAATGCCATGTGGTCAAGTTAACGGCGAAAATTGACAGAAGGACTAATGGAGTACATTTCGTATAGTTAAGGGATCAAAAAAATGCAAAAATTTGTTGAAGGACCAAAAATGTGCAACTCACTAAAGTTGAGGGACCAAATTTAACATTTAACCTATTTAATAAGATAATTTTTAAATTTTGAATTAAGTTTTAATTTATTAAAATAAAATAATTTAAAGTTAAGTTTTCAATTATTTTTG